TACTGTTTACCAAAGTAATGCTCATTAAGCTCCATTAGTATCTCTCATTTAATTGATCAAGTTCCTGTCTTCCAAAAGATGAGACTGTAGCTTTTCATCACATCACTGATGACCCTATGACTGTACAGACCTGGATGAAGTGACTCATAGAAAATGGTGAAATCATTTGTGGCTGCACTCAGAGGAAGACTCCTTACATTCAACTGCACAAGGGTTGGGGTGAGCCATGCTCTCTCCTCAAACTAGTATTTTGTCTATTTTTGTTTGACAAGCAGAGTCAGCACTTTGGGAATGTCTACGTAATAGTTATATTTGTCTGATCCCTTGAAGCTGTATCCATGAACTTAATCCACCTACTTAAATGTGACACAAGTTGACAGGCCTTTGTGACAAAAAGCATTAGGTGATCATCCTCGTGCTCTTTGACATATGAAAGTCACTTTAACATGCTGCTGTTGCACAAACAGATATTGTATCTGTATCCATGGTGATGCAGTTATAGACCTGGTTTCATTTTCAGGTAAATGGGAGTAAGCCTTCTGGTCAGACTGGGTAAGATCCTGAATCCTTTGGTTGTTCAAATCAGAATCTTTGCTGGGTTGCAAACAATCTACATTTAACTGCAGGACGAAAAAAATGCAGGAAACTTTCTTCCTCCCTCCTGTGAATGTTCTAACCCAGGGTTTTTGAAATGCTGTATTTGCAATTTGTGCGAGCCCTGATTTAGTGCTCAAGGTACTTTTCTTCCCATATGGAGGGAAAAGAGACATTATTCATTTTCCAGTACTGCTGAGCATTCTTCATAAGCCTGCCCCAAACAAATCTGCTCATGATTACGAAGTCGGAAGATAAGAAGGATCATACAACCAGACCTCTTTCTCAGTATGCTGGAGGTTACCTGCAACACTCCAGCATGGTAGTAAAGTAGGACCTGGGGACTCTTAGAGCTGTCAGCATGTCTCATTATGTTTACACTTCAATGTGAAAAGTAATAGATATGATGTCAGGGAGTTTCTATGCTTGTTGCTGTCATATAAGATGGTGGAACAGGGAATTTAGAGCCTTTGAAAACTGTCCATTACATGTAAGTATCCTGTCAATTTCCTGCCAAAGCATCTTGTGGTTATTGCAGGTTGGATGTCAGTGCAGCAAGGCCTAAAATAGAATTGAAGTTTTAAATAATGATAGCCCCAACTGAACAAGGTTCTTAAGCATTTTCATAATTTTAGCTCATAGGTATGTTGTGGAACTTTTTAAAGCTTATTTATCTATATCCATAGCTAAAGACTTTAAGTCTTATTTTACGTGAAAAGTTGAATGTAGTGGATGTGGAACAGTAATGGAAAATTGTTGGTAATGGGTCAAGTTGCATCTCCTGCTGGTTTTCAGTGGTGTATGTGTGCATGTGTAATTATAAATCACAAATGAAAAATGTCTTGGCTCCAAGTGCTCATATCCTATATCAAACTAGATCCTGAATGCATCTCATGACATGACTGAGACATGAAAGCATTTCTGGATCTGTTATACCAAGTGACACTTGTGCTTTCACTTTATTTGCTAAACACACTTCTTAATATGTTATTCTTTCTTAGTAGCCATGTAGAGAACACTGTTAATTCATTTTCTTTTTGTAAACATATATGGTCAACTGCTTTGGAAGTTTCAAATCCAAAGAGTAAACCAAGGTCTGCTTTTAGCATAACACAATCCACTGAAATGTGACAGTCTTGACTTCTTCAATAAAGAGCTGCAAAGAGGAAAGCTTTTTTTTTTTTTTTCCTTAAAAACCGGAAGACAGAAATTAGATTTAGTTGCTTAGCAGAAGACAAAACTGACATTGTATCAATCGATTTAGTTGTTCACAGGATTCAACAAATCTTCAATGGCCTCCTTCCCCAGCAGTCAAGAGGCTGGTCCCAAGTCATTGAAGAATCTTCTTCTCCCAAGGGTTTGAAGAGTTCCTGCTGGAAACAATTTCTCCACCATCAGTCCCCTGACAATGCCTTGACAGAGCACCATATTAGGCAATGGGATTATTGAGAATGGCATTTGGGAACTCCAGTGAGCATGTCTCCTAGGGAAGGACCACAACAGTAAGCTGCTTATTGAGTGCACAGAGCCCTTTCCTGGCTGACAAGTCTGTTTCAGAGGTCATCCAGAGAGGGCTATCATTCTTTAGGGAGGTGGAAACTACTCAGTGCTATTAATGGTTTTTTCCTGGCTGTCCTCAGGAATAGAACTGTAAGCTCAGCATGACCATGAAAGGGATTGCACATGACCAAAAGATTATGATGAAGTATCTCCCATGTCTTTACCACTTCCAATGCCTGGAATTCTCTCCTTTCCTTTTTTTGCTTCCCACTCCATACTTCAGGACTCCCTTCTCAGCTCAGTTTTTGCCTGTTTTCCTAGCAATAGCTTTAATAGCCTTGAACTGTGATTCAGGAAAGAAACCACTGACTTCCAGATCTGGCTTCAGCCATCTTTCTGTCTGTCTTAGTTTCAACTGGGACTGAATTGTTTTCTTCAGAGTGTCTAATATGATGCAATGTTTTGGTTCTAAGAGAAAAACCATGTTGATAACCTACCAGTGTTTACTGTACAGAGCCAAGGCCATTCCAGTTTCTCAGCAAAGGGCTGGAGGTGTGGAGGGCAAGAAGCTGGGAGGGGACAGAATCAGTACAGCTGATTTAAACTGGCCAAAGGGATATTCCATGTCATATGACATCATGCAAAAGGGGAGTTCTGAAGGGAGTGGAAGTTCATCTCCCTCTCTTCTGCTCGCTAGATGGCTGTCTGAACATCAGTTGGAGGGGTGGTGAGCAATTGCTTGTGCATCACTTGTTACAGATACATTCGTATGTGTATGTAAATTGTCATGACTAATATCCTTTTTCTTATCTCTTAGTAAATAGTTTTATCCCAATCCATGAGTTCTACTTTGTTGTTTGTTTTTTTTTATTCTCTTCCCCATCCCACTGGGAAGTATGGGGAAGTGAGTGAATGACTGTCTGTTGCTTAGCCACCTGCAGGTTAAACCACAGCACCATCACAGAATTAGAACAGTTGAGCTTGAAAAGAATCTCTGGAGATTGTCTATTCTAACTTCCCTGTTTAGAACAGAGTCAGTAGAGCATGCTGGCCATGATGTTGCTCAGGTTTTGTGTACCTCCTTACTTTTCTGAACATGTGAAATTACTTTTGGGCTGTAATAGTAGTGTTTAGGTCTGGTCTACACTATAGATTTTGGATAACAATTGTGCCTACTGATAGTTAAGACAAGACTGCAAAGGTGTGTAATTTCTGACCAAAACTGTGTGATAGGAGACCTAGAATATTTGTAAAACTGCACAGGATATTGAGTTTTGGTTATGACGGGCAACTATATTCCAACACTGCAAAGTACAGATTTCTGGAACAGCAGTATCTAAACCTCAAGTGTATACACACTGACAGTTTTAGGCTGGTAAGATAGAGATGTTATTTTATTCTCAATGTGAGATTTCAAAGTAATGAAGGAGTAACATTCCAAGACTTACTTTTCCTTTTCATATTTTCCAAGGCCATAGAGCAAAGTTTACTATATTAATTGGTAGAGCAGAAAAACAAATTGCTATAAATCTAAGTAAAGCTATTATGTTCTAATGAGATTCTGTGTCTATTGGCCTTTACTATACATTTTCCTTTTTGTTCTATGATAGGTGCTGTGATCAGGCTTACAGCAATGAACCTTTTCCTCCTAGTGAGGGCCCTGTTTGGACTCCACAATGATTTGCTTTAGTGTTTGTGGATTTGACTGGAAGTTCCTAAACCATATCGTATTCACACGCTCAGCCTAAAATTATCTTTGCACTAAAAACATTCTCCCTTTTAAACACTGCATGAATTCAACAAGAATGAAAAGTATGTTTTAGCTACATTTAGAACAGTGTGCAAAGGAATAGTCTTACCAGCATTTCTGTGTGGTAGAAATTTAAGCTTTATTTCCTGAATATGACCTGGGATAGGGTCCCAAAGGTTAATACTCATAACATGACAGAGGTTAGTATCAGCCATCTATTGTTACTGTTAAGGATTTCAACCTTTTAAATCATTGCTTGTTGCAAGAAGTTTAACTAGTTGAATTATAAGTCAAAACACTATCTCTTATAAATATTCCTATTTTCAACTTGTCTAGAATCCTCATAGGCTAACAATAAACTTCCATAATTCCTTTGGCTATTATAAAAAGTAAGCTTTGTCTAGTTAATTTACTCTTCTATTTACATAACCAAGGACATGACTCCACTAAGGGTAACATTCAAGTGGGATAGTTTCTCTATCACACAATTGAAAAGGGTAATGATTTAAATAAAAAAATATAAGGAAGGAAGGAAGGAAGGAAGGAAGGAAGGAAGGAAGGAAGGAAGGAAGGAAGGAAGGAAGGAAGGAAGGAAGGAAGGAAGGAAGGAAGGAAAGAGAGACACCATTAATCTTCATAATCAAGGTGCTATCAGATATTATTCAACCGATAGAAAATTTGCTCAAACACAAGCTATCTTCTGACATAAGAATATCAGTTATGATGTTGGTTTAGTAAGTTAAACATTGTAAGTACCAACTGAAAAATCCAACACAAACTTGAAATTCAATTTAGATTCCTTAGCATTCCAAAACTGTTTCTAAACTGGATTTGACAAGATTTCCAGAAAAGTTCTAGGGTCCTCCTATATAAATTATTATGAAATACTCAGGTAGACAATTACAGTATGTCTCCAGATTGAACAAGTTCAGTTCCTCCTTTTCAAAGAACATGAACTTTAGCCTTCTGACCACACCACTCTAAAGATGCTAAGTATTGCCTGTGTGAAAGCCAACAAAATTTGAGAACTGCTTTGAAACATTAAATTAACCCAAAACCCAAACTGTCAAAATTCAGTAACTATGTACCACAAGCGTGAAAACTATATGCTTTTGATTTTGAAGCTCAATAGATGTCTTCTTTCCTTTTTTTTCAGAGACTGAAACTGAAAATGCTCTACCGCCTCCAGGTTGGTATGAACAAAAAAAGCTTATTGATGCTCTAATACTAACAAGAGAATTGCATGGGACTAGAAACTACGTAGCCATAATACTTTTTGTGTTCACTGTCTTTCTGAAAGTAAGGAGACAATAAGAATGGTAAGAAAGCCTCACTTCATGTTTCTTCCGTGTCCACTTTTTTTTTCAGATTCATGTTATTTTTGTTTAAAATACTTTATTTTCATAAGGATGAAAATATACATTTTCGTATACATTTCCCATCAGAGTACCAGAAAGTGATGACTGCTTAAATTCCATGTCTTAATTATTCTCTTCTTTGATAGTGAACAGTATTTAACTACCAAAATAATCCCTTTCATTTCCCGTTGAAGGAAGGTGAACTTTGCATAAAGATGACAGAATCAAGCATGAGATTCATTTTACTTAATTCTAGCCATCTGAAGATCTGGTGTTTTGTCTAAGCTGGTCAACAGTGCTCCATCTATAAACAGTGGAGAAGATCCCAGGTCATGGCTGCTCATTTAATGGACATTTCCTGGAAAATGAAACTAAAATGTCACTGGCTGTCTATGTTTACATAATTGCCTCATTGAGTATAGGTGCCTAAGAGGGTGAATACTTTCAAGGAAGTCAAAGTTAGGTGAGATGAAACTCGTGCAAAAGGACTGGAGTTTCAGATATAGCTGAAGCTCTGTGCAAAGCTGCTACCTTTTCTTTAGTGGGAGATGGAAAAGTAGCATAACTTCATGGATCAGAGATGCATTGAGAAACTTATATTCTCATATGCTGATTAATACATATATATGATATATTTGTCTAATTTAATCATTTGGCGAGTTTATTATCTCAGTAGCTATTTGATCAGTGGTATGAAATAGATACTTCCCAGTTCACATGTGAAACCTGCATTTACTAACAGTCTTGCAAATTGTCATTCCACAAAGCTAATTCAAGACATTTTTGTTTAAAATATATACCTTTTCATTTATAAAAATGACAAAATATGAGGACGGTAGTATCATTTACCACAAAGAGTTTCATGTTTGAATAACCCCCAAGAAATTTTCATGTTAGGATGAGCTCTTTCATATTGTAAATATACCTCTACTTCTTAAAATCTTCTGTAAAATGAGTGTCAGTAGACCTTTATGGTTAAGCACAAACCACATGAGAGTATTATTGGGAATGACAGCCACTTGCCTTCACCTCCTTCCATATCAGCCAAGATACTGTCATCATATATTCCTGGGGACTATCACACAAAGAGGGAAGTTAGTTGTTCAAGAAACCAAAATATGTAAATAATTTATTGGACATAGTCAGCATTTTGAACTATACCAGGAAATTTCTGGGAAGACATTGTAACTGTTTCATCTAGATTCCATTGTCGGGCTAGTAAATTTGGTCCTGAATGAGGCTTCCCAATGGAATTTAAACTTGTTACCAGCTTCCAAGAATAGTGAATTCTCCTAATCCCAGCTACTAATGGGAAGGTAATGTGTTAGCATAGCAGAATCACCATTAAAAAGAAAGGTTTGACAGACAACAATTTTTCTGACGGTTGGACCTTGGAAGCTTCTGACAAGTAGAAGCAGCTAAGGGTCTGTCACACTTACAAAATATGGGCTTGTCTTCTTCACTTCAAGTTTTATTTTCATAGTCACTGTAGTTGTGTACATATGAGCAAAAAAATAGGAATCAAATCCCCTGGCTCTTGCAATTATTCCCTTCAGGACAAACGTTATCTTTGCTATAACTTAATGTTGTTAGTCCATTGGCCTTCATCTAAACCCAAGTTAAACCAGGCCTTTAGCAGGTAAGTTCACTAGACAAAGATTTTTTTCACTGTAACTAGACTATTGAGTGTTTATACTTTGAAGACAGTACAACTGATATGATTTGACAAGCTTCTGAATTTGCTTTGTATGCAAACTATATGAGATAGGAAACCAAAGGGGATAGGAATATTAACAAGAATCCAACAATAAATTTGATGTTATTAAATCTACAGTCCAAGTTTTCTCATTCATGAATGAGAAGAATTCAAGAATGTTAGAGATATTTCACATACCCCTCATTGGAGTACGTGGTGAACTAGCAACACTTCTGGTAAAAAAAATGCAAATCAAATAGCCTAGGAAAGATGATGATGGTAATGAAGAAGATAATCAGAAATAACCAAGGACACTCCCAACACATTGTTTCTCTGTACTGTTTTAAGGGTAAATCAGTTAGACAGTGGAGTTCTGGTTAGCATTAATAGTTGGCAGTATCTCATGTCTGATCCAAGACTATTCGTATTAACAGAGTTATTTAATTATTTTCAAAGGATTTCATATATAACACCAAGAGCAAATGACGAACAATTGCTACTTAAAAAAAACAAAACAAAAACAAGCAAAAAAAACCCCAGTATTTTGCTTCCACTAAGTACAGGAACATCAATTTCCCGTGACTCATTCAAAATGTAGGAAATCTATTGATATGCATGCATCTGTGAAAAAAAATGTTTTAAAGACTTACAATCTTTAATTGTACATACATGTATACTTATAAATCTTTAATCATTTTTCGGTACTAGCAAACCTAGAATATTGATGTATTTTTAAATTCTGCGTAAGTTTTTCTTTTTTACTTTAAGATCCTCTCAAAAATATACTTGTACTTCCTACACAGAACAAAAAATACCACAGGATGGTGGAACTGAAAAGGGTAAAGGTGAGTTTGAAATCATATTTCAAAAATGGACAGCAAAGAGAACATTCTGAAATGCTGTTCTGATGCTAGATTGCTTGAGTTATAACTCGGGAATTTGGTGCCAAATTTTAAAAGTGTGATGTGAAGCTTCCTAGATCCTCATTCTGCATGACTTATCTAGCATTAGGAATCTAGGATGCTTATAAGTATCTTTAAAAATTCTGTGAACAAGACTGACACTGCTTAGCACCAGTAGTTACACAGAATGCTTTCTTAATAGCTCAAATTTCAAGTGCATTGCATGAGCAGAAGGACATCTTTCTACTAAAGTGAATGTTGGCTCTGACCAACCTTGCCTAAACTCAGTTACTGTGCACATCCATTGCTTTTAATCAGTGGGGGAAATCTCCTATTACTCTAAACTGTTTCTGTTCTACCAGACACTTGATATTGCATGTTCCATCTTCTAGTAAAGTACGATAGAGTTCACACACTCATTAAAAATAAAAATAAAAATTCTATATTGCTTCTCTATCTAAGAAAAAGAAATTCCTCCATTCCTCTTCATTATTGGAAGTCCAGAGACTGTGGTCATTACAAGTTCTGAAAAATGTCTCCGAGGACATTTTACTGTCAACAAACCCCAAACTGTGCAAGTAAAAATGTGGTCCATTTTCAGTGCAAATTTTACATTGCTGCAATTAGACTCCAGCTCTGTTTGTAGCTTTTCTAGTTAAGAAGGTACATTTTGAGGTAACTGGGTCAAATTCCACTTCTTTTTGCTACTCCCTGTTGAAGTAGAATTCAAACAGCTCAGAAGCTTATTTTGAAATGGATAATCTTTTTGTTTTTCATTCTCACAGAAGGATAAACCAGAACAAAATATACTTACAACAGATGTAATGCTTGCTTTTTTTTATTTGTCACAGTTACGCTTTCCACGGCAAATCAAGAAATGTCTTTCTTGAAAATACATTCTGCATTTTGATCTCTTACTCAAAGTCTTACCTTTTAGTGACACCAGATTCACACCTGAAACTTGGAAATTTGTTTGGTGAAGTCATGCATGGCCATTTTTCTCAGCAAAATAAAAATGCACTGACAGTACGTGATTCAAATATTCCTTAGAATATAAAAATGACAAGCCAAGCTTCAGTGCATGTTATTTTGCTAGCTATTTTTGCATTGAGCAATTATTTTGACAAACAACATTTTGTGTGAGTAATCAAATCTGTCATCTTGGTAATGCAAACATAATTCAGGAATAATTTGCATGCCTAATGATAAGAAAAAGATGAAGGTCTTGCCTCAGGCTATTCTAGCAGTTAGTTCTGCTTGATTTAATTTTCTTGTGAGAAATGTTTGTTCCTGAGCTGAACATGCACAGTGCTCTCTCCACCGCTTACAAGTCTACATTTCATTGAGCTAAAAAGAAAACATGGTAGGTATCACATCTAATACTTCAGTTGTTTTCTTATACATTATTTTATCATTTCTGTTTTGAATTTAGTGGAGAATATGGGATTTCCTAGAGAAAAAAAATGTTTTATTGGAGCTCAGCGTATTTAGTAGGATTTTGCTGCCCCAATTTTTTTTGAGATTCTTCTATGGGAAGTGTTTCCAGTTTCAATTCACAGTGGCAGTAGCCACCTCAGTAGGAATTCCAGTGAAATTCTGAATAGCAATATGTAGAAAGAATGACTTTCTGTTGAGCTGTCAACTTTGCAAATAACGTTGATGTCAATGCCTGACACTCTGCATTCTCTGCAGAAGTATTTGCCGTTTTTCTCATTTAATGACAGGAATACATATATTTGCACACATATATATGTGTTACACGGCATTATGCAGTTTCTACTATCAACTCCTGCTTTGTTGCGGAGTATCACCAAACAAAGGACAGCACATTTTCTGAGAGTGATTCCTTCATGTTTGTTTGCCAGAAGCAAATCTTTCTAATTGTTTCCATAACACACAAAAGAGGAAAAAGATTCTGTTTCTCCCATTTGTCCAAAATCAATATGAACTGAAGACAGAAACACCTGGAGGTTAGGTTTTGTGTAAGCTATTTTTTAAAATTGTTTCTCTAGTTTCATAAATAACAGATTTGGGTACTTCCCTGTATGGGTTTAAGACAGGAAACATTTCATATCTCAATTCCACAGTGATTTTATGATACTGCACTTTAGCAGTTGTGATTCCTTTGTTACCAAATTATAACAAACAGCACACTGGAATCTGGGGCAGCCCTCTGCAGCACAGTCAGACAATGCCTGAATGTAGTGTGTAGGTAAGAAAGGTTGGTCCATAATTATGGGGTCTATATTTTTCCCCGTGTTTCTCAGACAAAGTCAGTTGCAGAAGTTAAGAAATAGAGTATATCTTCCTGTTTGTCTGTCTTACTGTTCTATTTCTTTGTAGTAGCTACTGTCTATGTGAAAGAAAATATTTATGTCCCTTTATGTTCACTGTAAAGATAAAAAATTGAGGATGAGTCATAAAGTCTTTATCTTGTCATTACTTTGCAGTAAATCAGCAGCTTATAGCAGTAGTTGTATGTGTACAGAATTTTTTACGGTACTCCTAGTTTGAAAAATAGCATTTAGTAAAAAATTCAGGATACATAAGAGCATACATTTTATCTTCAGATCAAAATGTCATTCACCAAATTGACCACATTTATCCCATTCTTATTCATTTTACGTCTGCTTTTGTTTTTAATTTTAGCATTATTTTAAACATTGATTACTGTTGTAATTATGTTTCCAGTTGCTGGAATAAATGATTTTTAATATCATTTTGCTCATTCCTTTTTAGGTCCAATCCAGCTATTCAGAGAGCTACTCAGATTTCTGCATGATTTACTGATATCTTTTCTCTAGGTTCCATCCAGTCATCTACTAAAACGTTTGCATGTTTCATTCTTGTTATTCCTCCAGGTTTCACTCATCCATTCATCTCTCTACTAAAACTTCCATTGCTGATGTATGTACTTCAGTTACAGGGCCAAGTCCCCTTGATAGGAGTGCTGAACACTTTGCAAATTAGGTGGATAATTGAAAGCAACTAATTTCAAAACTCTTGGAAGAGTCAGTGCTCAGTAATTTCAGCAAAAATGACAGAACCAGTTGGTTGAGTTGTTGTGGATTTGTTTATGTAGAGTGAATACAGTGGTTCACTCTTTGTGACGTTTATCTATCTCTTGCCTTAGCCCTGAATGCTTACTCCAATGGGCAGTACTACAAAAAACATTATGGCATTCTGAGTGCTATTGCAGGTGCAAAGCAGTGCCTCTGCCGTGTTCACCTCTCCTTCTTGGTCATCAGTGAGCAACGGGTGATCAGCAAAAAAAGATTAATAAATTTATGAGCTCAGCTCACCAATTAAATCAAATTTGAGGTGCTGTTCCAGGAGCATTTGTTTAGTTGCTAGAACAATATGTTCAGAAAACTGACATGATTTATCATTACTGTGCTTTCATTGAAAATCAACATATTCTATGTCAGCTTAGTCCAATGGAAGGTGCAGGTGGTGAGAATGTGTCCACATAAGCTATGCGTTTTTGTATTTTTTTAATGAATAAAAAATCATGTTTGTAAGATAATATATTAATCCTTCATCTGTAGGCCTACAATTAAAACTTATATTCTCTTGCCAAGGGATTTTGTAAATGAAATTTGATGAATCATTAAAAAGGAATGAGTAAAATGTCATGGCTAAGTAGTTAAATTCTATCAGACCTTCAACTACATTTCAGTGATTAATAAAGCATAACATTTAATAAAACCAGAATTTTTTTACATGTAATCAAATTTTATGTGCTTTTTGCCATTGCTATTGCATTTGTCCTTGAAAAAATAAAGACAAATTTGAACTTTAAGACAAAATCAAATAATAATTAAAAAGTAAATCACTGATTCTTGAAACCCAAATCTGAAAAAAGTAAATACATTTCATAAAATAATTCTATTTCAGATATCTTTTCCTTGACTTTGAAATGTTCTCTAGATTATTTTCCATTAGATTTTAAAAGGCTTATTATTATCTTTACTTTATGTACGTATTAAATCCTAAATAAATATATAGTTTATTCTGGCTTTTCAACTGTTCAACAGGTAATTTTTAAATTTTATTTTATTTTATTCTATTTTAACACACTAAAACATTCTGTACATTTTTATCAGACATTCCTATCTTTGATATTTCCAGTAAACACCTAAAATTTAGGAGATTATTGTAAAAAGAGTCTTCAACTTATTCTGGATTTCTGATAAGCATGATTACAGTATTTCAGTTTTAATGTCAGTTTCATGTTATTCAGGCTTTTGGCTTATACAAATATGTATGCATAACTGTACTTTATTAGATTAATCATTTTGAGATACCTGAGTAGCAGTTGTTTCTAGTGATTTGATACCTGATGACTGCCAGCATTTAGTGTGATTGAAAGGAAAATCCTGCGGGATAATAGTTCTATCTGTATTTTAAGGCATATAATATGTGACAAAAATAAGTTATATATTTGTTGCTTTTATAATATTCTAATAAGTAAATTATAAAGTATGAATATAGGAGACTATTTTTTACTTTTGCATACCTTTATCTAATGATGCTGAATGCATATGTGATACACATTTTAATTGCAGACATGAACATCAGAGAAATGGCATCATCCTCAGGTCAGATATGTGATTGACCTTGATTTTATTGTGGCTTTTTTGTATTTACTGTGGATTCCATCTCTAACAAACAGAACCACTCAGCAGCTTTCATATAAACTCATGATTTAATAATAGATCACAGTTCACATCTCATTTTTCTTCTACTTGCTTGAAACATTAAGGTTTACCATTTCAGCTACTGAATTATGCAAAGCTTTCTTCATCAGTTTGAAGCTTCCATTGTGAATGCTCCTGACTATTATGATTTTTCCCTTTCTTTTGCAGGTTTTACCTTTTCACATATTTGTTTTAAAGCAGATGATCGACTGTGCTTTGAGTTTCTTTATGTATTTTTTTATTTGTATTTCTTTTCACAGATGAAGATGACACAGTTAGCACACCACCAGCAGGTTAGGACCATGATATTTTTTTTTATGTGTATGTATGTATGGATTTTTCTCTTGACTATTAATGAACAGAGTCCAACCATTTGGACTGAATTCATAACATACTCATTAGAGAATAACATTTCTGAGGTGTCCGAAATTAATTTAGTCCATGTTCAGAAGTACAAGACCTTCATACCAGACAAGTTTATTTCTAGTCCTGTCTTGAATTTTTGTTAGAACTTCTGGCATTGGAAGGTAGAATATTAGCAACTCTGAAGGCATCTGTCTTAACTGTTACTATTGAAAAAGTAAGGAAAGCATTTTTAAGTTTTGTCCTGAGAACAAATTCCAGAATTACAAATAAAATAGATGCCTTATGATTTCAAAATACGTTTATCCATAGAATTGTCTGTCACCTCTCTTTAGGCCATAAGCCTTACAAGTTGTCTAGAAGACAGGTAGTTTTAATTTACCAATTCAAGATGGCAGATAAATGCCTTTAGTTGGCAGAAGAAAAGTGACAGTACAGGGATCATTCATGGTTGTTGTGACTTTGGCAAGACTTCAACATGGTTTGCTTAGTATGTCTTTTAAAGAGATTAAACTTGAGTGAAACAGACATTTTGAACATTAACGTGCATTCTAGTGCATCAAATGAAAAACTCTCATTCTTGCTTTAAAACTTTTAACAAAAAAATGGTTTTATCACATCTTCACTGTGTTAAATTTTCCTGATTTATTTTTAAAAATGGCATTATTAACCATGGGCTGCATGCCATCTGAAAAATCAGTAGCAGTGAATTGATCAACAATGGTAGAGATTTTCATTGACAAAGCTAACAATATAAATAAAGCTTTGAATCTCAAAACTCTATCTTTTAGTTTCAAATAATAATAATAATAATAATGTTCAACTTGAATTACATAAAAATATATGTTATTTAGAATCACCCCAAAGGATGAGCAAAGTATCAGCTTCAAAAATCCCTTCTAGATATAAACTACTACGAAGGAAATCTTGAGTGGAAATTAAATTTAGGCTTTCCAGAGAAATGGGGGAAAGATTTCTGACTTCTTTTTTTCTCAGCAGTTCACTTCCTCTGGCATTCAAATAGTTTCTCATAGGTACAGTCCTAGGTATTTATTCTAATCTTCTTGCATGAAGAATCATTGTTCTTAAAATCTTCATGACCTGAGGTCAGTTTAATTGTGATCTCTGAGCTGGTATCATCTAAATTGCTCTTCCCTTTCAGATGGGATGTCTAAGGCAGCGGAAAGAAAGGATTCAGGTGAGACCTCCTGAACAGCATGTTGAAACAGTCCAAATTTTATACGATACAATGATTATTAATGAGTTATTTCTTAGATATTTTTTTTAATTCCATTATTTACACAGTATCAAACACTAACTTTTCAAATGCTTTTCAAAATTAGGAACTTAAGTAGTTTTCTAGCAGCTAAACTGGGAGAGAGAGAAGACTCTGATGTACCATACAGGACACATACCAGACACATACATACATACCTATCTATCTGCATGTTTTTCCATACAGATAGATACGCAACTATTCCCTTCCTCCTCAGCCTACAGGGTGGCAGTGGCTTACCTGAATCTCATACACAGGCTCCAGGAGATTGTGGGAGAATGGCTTCTTCTCACAGCACAAAGGATGGTGGGGAGAACTTAGCAAAGTCATAACCTCTTTCTTCCTACTCTGCCAGGTAACGCATACTGCGCCCACTTTTGTGGTTTCAGGATTTGCAGCCTCTGGAACAAAATGAGCAGCAAGTACTTCAACCATAGTTACTGAACTGGTGTAACAGCCTATGCCAGGCCTGTGAGCCACTGTCAGACCTACATTCTGTTCTGACTGTTTAACAGACAGGAAAAAGCTAATAACCAGAGATGATGATAATATTTCTGCATTACATGGTACCAAATTCATGAGTCCATGTATACCACTTTCATTTATTAATATCCATTTTCCGTTTCACCCCGTCGTGTCTCAGGTTCATTACTGCACCTGACCAGTTCCTATTTCAAGCACTGTCAGATCCTTCTGTTCATACCTGTAACTCTCACTTGTTCTTGTGTTATGTCTTTCCATACACTAGTATACCATACCAGCATAATTTTAATAGTTTGTATTTTGTACAGAGAGTAGATATAGATATGCATCTATACATTTCTCTGTGCATGTGTGTCTGTGTATGTTTCCATATGTGTGTATATACATGTGTGTACATACATGTATGTTTTATACAAGCAGAAATATACAGAGATATTAGGCATACCAGCTGTAAGTCATTGAAAGAGCTAAAGAGAAAGACTTTGTAGCAGAGCTATCCAGCATTTCTATGTGTCTCTGAAATTTCTTACAGACTTAAGGACAATAAAAGCAGTTTAGTTGTGTTTTCCTATGGTTGTCATGAGTTGTGCTTCATTAGTCACCAGTGGCAATTTTCATGAGTTTAAAAGGTTCCTGTAGCAGTTAGCTCTAAGCGAAAGGCAATTTTGTCTTCTGGCAAATGAGTTTTTATGGAAAATACTGAAGAGGGAAAATAAATTTAAATTTCAAGAACAGAATTGAGTAGGTGAGAAATGCTGCCAAATTAGTTCATCATTTGTACTAGTTATTAAACAAAAAAGAAAAGAGTATTGGATAAATAACAAAAATCCACCTTTGATTTAGAAACAACTAGAATTCCAATGGGAACAAGGAATACAGCTCTGTTTTGAAAGTTATAGCCTCCTTTGTTTGATACAGTCATATGTATACACATTTGCTCTGCTATTCCATGCTAGCACTGGCTTTACTCAGTCTATTCTATGCACTAACCAGAACTCCTCAAACAAGGACATTTGGACTCCACAAATTCTTTCTCTGAGCATGAGACTTACTTTGCCTTTCGAGATGAAGGGATTCTCTTTTGGTATAGAAAGTCTGTCACTATCATGCGCTTTCCCTGTCTTTTTCTGTTAGGAATTAGCTCTGAGCACAGTTTTGCATGTATTTACCAAAGATGTAACTGCACAGCACAAAGCCCTGGACGCTCAGATGTCAGAACCGTCAGAAACACATACCTGAGCTAACATGTTTTCAGCCTTAGATAAGTTGCTTACCTGCCTCTTCTCTCACTATAATTGTTCTTCCTTCTCTTTCATTTCCAAAATCTCAATTTCCAGAAGAGAACACATTCTGCCTAAATATGTGACAGAATCATTTCCATCTGACAAACTATTTCTCTCTACTGATTCCCAAACTCTCTGTTTCTATCATAGAGAACAAAGCTGAGAAGTAAGCTTCATCACTGGTCTATTATGTGAGCAAAAAAGAAAAACTAGCTTGTTCAGTCAGCTGAGTTTGAGATTTACAGAGACCCACAGGAATTATCATCATCTGTGATTTGCATGTGCTTACAGCTGTTTGTGTTTTCAGAACTTCCACCTCCATTTTCCTTTCTGAAAAACAAAGAGCTGACCTTTGTCTACTGCCTCTGTAAAGTACTCATGGTTGAATGCTGGTGCCATTCAATTTGCTCATCACCCACCTAGGCTGATCAGATTGCCACGTCTTCTTCTCTGAGAGTTTCATTTTCTGTTACCACAGAGGTAGCATTCTTTCAGGAACTGCATGCAATGTGACAGCCAAGCAGTGGATGTCAATATGAACAAACACATATCTTTCAGGACACCTGAAGAGAGAGGTAATAGGGTTAGAGAGTTTAGTGAGTTCAGGTAAGTGTATTTTGGAGAGCGTCAAACATTGGCTGATAATTGATATTTTCCTCTTTCTCTGTATCTCAGTATGGTCTATTGGAGAAAGCGCTCCAGAAGAGACAGAAAAACGTGATGACTCCCAAAGATCCACTTTATTCATTGAAAAACCTCAGAGTGGTTCAGTGAGCGTTGGTAAGTGCTTTGAAAGAAAATCAGAAGCCATTTCTGGAGAGAGAAACAGAGACTGAAAAGATGTATGTGAGGTTCAGGTAGCACTCAGCTTCTGCCCTCAGCTACAAATATTTCCACTGATTTTAGTTGGATGTGAACTCCTTTCTTTGAAGACAAAACAGAATGTACGAGAAGAAGAAGAAAAAAGAATTCTTAAATTCAAAACAAAATCAAAATGTTATAGCTTACTTGACACAATGGACAAGAGGTATGTTTTTTGAGAACTCATTATTATAATACTGTTAGCCATAATGTTATTGATAGATCAGGAAGGTCTGCATGATGGCCTTCAGAGCAGCTTAGAGATTCCCAGGTCAACATTTATACTCTGCAGCTGCAGCTAAAGCAATTAGACTAATAGGAGCAGATCTGCACAGAGGCTGGCAGGGAGCAACCATCACCCCTACTATAATAACTGTGGGAGATTTGCTCTGGACTGTTTCTAGTCCTTGGCCTGAATATCTTCCAGCAATTGGAACACAGGAGGTAAACTGTCAGAGCACATCTTTGGTTTTAATTTAACCCCGGAGGAATCCAGTCCAAGTACTTCAATACCTTCCTATGAAGGAAGCCAGAGCATGATACATGAGGACAGTAAGGAGGTTCACTTCCTAACTGCACTTCAGTGCCATACTTACAACATTCCAATGCAAGAAGGGTAGCAGCATTGCAACTATGGTGCCAAGTTTAGTACAGGCTACCTAGTATGTCTGCTATGTATTGGGATATGTGCCCATTGATAAGTGGGCAGATGTGCTTTTTATACATTGCTACTATTTTTCTGAGCTTCTGAGAACAACAAAAAGATCATTTGGGGAGGATTTATTTGGAAAACAAACATAAGGTATTGGCTGTATTCTTTTCTAGAATGTTGGATGGAAACTCCCAAAATACTGTTTACAGAGGACTCTTTTCCTTCTCTTTTTAACTTCAAGAATTAGTGATAGTGATGCATAAAGAGGCATTTTTCTAGATTCCGCTGTGTATTTGTGTTACAATTACCTAGCAGCTTAGGAATATATGTCTTATTTAAAGGCAAAGAAATTCAGCCACTTGAAGCATAGTGGCCATGACAACATGGAGTTTTGCATCAGCTAATTTTTTTCTGCTTCTTAGTTTGTCTCAGGCTTGACACTGCCATGATCAGAAGGCTTCCAGACTCAAAATCACTAATCTCTGTAACATTCTGCAGTATTTTCATAGCTCATGTGACTCCTGATTCTCATTATCATGGTAGAGCTAACACATGGAAGGAGTCATAGTAAAAGAAACGTGTACAAATGTGACCAAGCAACCACAAGTTCCTCAATAACTGTGTTGTTTTTTCTCTTTTGACAAGGTGGGAATATTACATTTATAGCCAAAGTAGAAGCCAAAGATCTTCTCCGAAAGCCAAACGTTAAGTGGTTTAAAGGAAAATGGATGGACCTGGCCAGCAAAGCAGGGAAGCACCTGCAGCTGAAGGAGTCATTTGAGCGTCACACAAAGGTCTGTCTTTGGTTTTCCTTCACATAGGGGCAAAGCTCCTAAGAGAGCTTAAAGATCAGATTTGGACGGTGGGCAGAATTTTAAGTGAAGCAGATTCTAAACCTGGCTTCACGACACGGTTTTCTGTGACGATCTCCAGTTCTGTTCTGTTCTCCCAGAACAGAACATGAGGTGGTGTGGAAATCCATGTTTTCAGTTGCTTTTTTGAGTTTCATTTTCTTTTCACAACCCTTTATTCAAGTTATACCTTACTCCTTTAGGTTTGGGTCTGGAAGACAAAATTTTCTATTTGTTTCATGCAAATGTATGTCCCACATTAATAAACAATTACATTTGATTTTTAGATACACACATTTGAGATGCATATCATTCAAGCTAAGGAGAATTATGCAGGGAACTATCGCTGTGAGGTTTCTTATAAGGACAAGTTTGACAGTTGCTCTTTTGACCTTGAAGTCACTGGTAAGATTCCAATTGTATTTGTAAAGCTTTATAAATATGTGATTTTTTTTTAATCTGAAATTCCACATAATTTTGTTTAGAACCATTAAATGAAGCAATGTTTAATCATAGCAGGAAGAAATTTTTAGCATAGACTGCAGAGAATTAAGCATCTGTGATTTCTTGTTTAGACATTGGGATAGCTAGTATGTGAAACATTTAGGTTATATCCAAAAATTAGGAAAGCTGGCAGATAAGTCTATTGAATTCAGATCAGATTCTGGCACACAAGAGAGGAGCAGGCTTTGGGCTATTCAGAGAGAGATAATTCATCTAGTAGGACCGGAAGGGAGAGAAGTTGGCTCAGGAATGGCTCTCCAGGACTTGCACCCTGCTCGTACATGATGCAGTCATACTTTAGAAAGCCACAGTTCTTCCACAATGCCCCAAAATAAACAATAGCCTAATGTGGAGAGTGCTGGAGATTCATGTCTTTATCTTTTTCTATGTTGTAATAGGTCTGACTCTGGCAAACGTTATTCCGTAGTCTTACCTTTTCCTTCAAGAGCACAAGAGTGCACACATACCTGTACAATCAGCCTGAGAAAGATGAATGTCTTCCAAAATTCCAGGGAAGTGAGGTACAAGTGGAAGAGAAAGCATTGGCATTAAGAAGAAAAAAAGCCAGAGCCAGTGTACAGGCAGGAGCAAGGATGTGAAAGAAGCACTGCTAGGACAGATCTCCTATGCAGAGCTGTAGGAGCTAGGCCAGAGAAATGCATTGAGTAAACCTGGCTTAGTGTCAAGCAGCTTTACATTTACCAGAACTTAATGCCAAAGGAGAACTAACTGTGATCACTTAGCAAGAGACTGAACAAATTTCTCATGCCAAATTACATTACTTATGTCAACTACATCAATTTAAAATTATGTCAAATTATGTTTTTAACCTCTGTCCTATTACTGCTTCACAGAATCCTCTCAAGCTGCTCCATCCATTGACATCAGATCTGCTTTCAAAAGAAGGTAACTTCAAACAGTGACCCTGTGAAACCCCTCGGTAATGGATGTGGTAGCATATGGAACTCACCTCTATTTTGGCAGGCAGTTTTATCGAGTACCTTCAGAATAGTTTTGGAAATAAAGATTAAAGAACTGGGGCTTAAGGTAGTGGGTAGAATTAACTAGTTACAATTCATTGGCAGAATCCCTTGAAAGTGCAGTGTCATTGCTTTAAGTGAAGGTGCAATATTCAAAGATATTAACTGTCCGTTTCTTCAGAGGTTTTAAAAATTATGTTTTCATTCTCTATAATATTTCACCATGTTTCCTAAAAATTGTGAGCTATGATATGAAAGATTCTGATCCAAGTCCTGCACTGATCAAAAGCAGAGACAAAATTTATACTGATTTCAGCAAGACAGGAGCTGGCCTTGCTTTACCCTACAACAAAGAAGTGTCATGTGGCCATCTTTGTGGAAAAACTTCAAATAATATACACAACTATAAAAATATAAAATATACATACATATATATGAAATATATATAAAATATACTGAAATATTGCAGGGGCAGTAATGTAAAGCATTGTGTCTGAAGTCTTCTATGTTATTTACCTTTTTTATAAGACAGTAATTAATACCAGTATAAAGATGTCACCTTTATATTTTATAGAAAACAATTGTCTTATAAGGGCAGAAGTATTCAGACTGAAAATGTTTTATAAACAAAAAATGTGCGCAGCTGATTAATTCACACATACAGGCAAAGTTGTGACTAAAAATTAACTACTTTTGTTTAGAAATATTTGATTTAAAGAGTAAAGAGAAAATGATATTGTATTAATTTTCTCCTGTACATCTTTTAAAAACTGCAATAACTATTCTGCCCCATACAGTGAGGATATCTCTGAATATTTTCTGTTTGTTGTAGGGGATACTTTGCATACAAAATATAGGATAAAATACTGATACCATTTGACTTAACATTTGTTGGATTTTGACCGTACTGCTTACAAATGTTAAGGGAATTATTTTGTTTATATGCATTTTAACAACACAGTTTTACTGCATAAGTCACATCATAGAAATATATGCACCTTCACAACACAATGATTTCATCTGTAAAAATGTAAAATGTGCTGTTTTTAACCGATCTTTCCCTTCGTTTAGAGAGAAACAATAAGTCTTAATCATATGCTTCGCAATCTGGTGTTTGACAGAGATATGCTGTTAAAAGCACCAAACAGCAATGCAAATCTTTGTTTTACATTCACAGCGTAAGATCAGCACAAGCCCTTTGTTTTTACACACATCTGATATGGAAATGAAAAACAAAGCTCATTGTGTTGACTAGCTCACGTTTATTTGTGTTACTGAAATCTAACACAAATCCTGGCAAATTTATGTATGAAGTTACAAAAATTTGCCATCAAAGTATGATGACAAGCAATACAAACCTTTGTGTTATTTTTCACAAGTGCCTCAGGTAAGATAACTTGTGTGAAAAAGAATACAAGTTTGTGTTGATTTTATACCATTAGTTGTGTGTCTGGACAGTGTTGAGTATGAGAGACATGAAGAGAGTTTGCAAGGTGTGTGTCGTTTACGTCTTTCTGTATTAAACAAAGATTTGATCTTTTTCTATTAATAACAGCGGTGATGGACAAGACGATGCAGGAGAACTTGACTTTAGTGGTCTCCTGAAACGTAGGTGAGAACCAAGTGATGCAGTGAGCAGGTGTGGATTGCAAACCATTAGGTTAGCACACAGAAAGAGTCAGGTGTAGCATTAATAACTTCTTAAGACTTTTCTGACATTTATTTTTTTTACAACGTTTCTAACTGTCATTCTCATGCTATAATATGCAAATGTTCATTTAATTCTACCTTTTAAGTGTGCTGAAAAGAACATTCAGACTTGAGTCTACCAGGAAAAAAAGTGAGCCACAACATAAAGAGACCGATAACATTTAATCTACTTGCTATTTCTTTTGTGTTTGCATGGAGTCTCATGGGGGAGAATTTCCTACACAGGGATGAGCAGTTCAGAAAATTGATTTGGGTGCAAGAGCAAAAAGATGGAAGGATTAGATTAACCTCTTCACATTCATCTTTATTTGGTGTTATTAGCACTGTGATACAATAAATTATATATCATTTTCAAACCACAGAGATTTATATTAATTTGTTGTAACTTTCTGTTTCAATATATGCACACAAATATTCAATGATGGTTCATTCACCTACTAACTCTTAAATGGGAAAACATGGACACGTATTTCTCTTGTTCACCTTGAGAATCTGATGATACAACAGCTATGCTGTTAGCTATTTCAGACTTCAAATCCAGTTTAGTTTCTTAATAGAGTAAGACAATTCCTGGAAAGGAAAATACGACCTTACAAAACCTTGATCTACATTAATTGGTGAAATCCTAATTTTTAAAAATTTATCATTAAAAATATCTGACAAGAAAAACAATTACTCTGAAAGAGAAAAACCAAATATACAATATCAATTACATTTTAAACTTCACAGTAGGCCTGTGGGCTATAATGGGAAGGAGAGTATTTAGGCAACTGAAGTGAAAACAGGAAGGTTGAAGGAAGAGAAAATATTACCTGAACCAATTCAAATCTACCAGGCCTTTTTTTCTAAACCTTTTCATCCCTAATTAGGATCTTCGGTTTGATTTTTTATCTTGCTAATACAACTTACTGTAACAGTTCTTATAACTGCCTGTGGTGTGTTTTATTAGCAACATGAGCTGCATGTAAGAGGTCTTGTGGGTTTTTGTGGAAAGAGAAGTGTGAAAAAAAATCATTGTAACTTCATTAACAACTAATATGTTTTATAAGACAAATATTTTTATAGCCATATAAATGTAGAATAAGAATCTTGTGTTTAATGGGCAAAGCAAACTTTTAATTCATAAACATCACTACTTACTAGTGGTGAAACTGGTACTTCACCTTCTAGCTTCAAGCACTTAAATGCAGCCTCTATGAGCTTAATTAAACGGTAAGACTGCTACTCAGACCCTAGTGTGGATATTAGTATCCATTTCAATTATGAAAATACATGTTTGCATTTCAATTATTGAACAGGAAATTCTGCAGGTGCACTCCCTCTCTTTTGTGTGGTCATACTGCCAAGAAGAGAGCTAATTTTTCACTCATGGTGCTTAATACTTAAAAAATACCTGTTTTTATTAAAAACATACACGCACGCATAAAAAAAACTTGCTGCACAGAATCTACATATTCCCTTTGTGCTTGTCTTGAAGAAAGACCAACCAGTTTTTATGCAAGTAAGCCACTCTGTAACTGGTTATGCTTCAATTCAGTGCATCGGTAAGAGCCTGAAATTCCACAAAGCACAAGATCTCAAAAAACACTCACACATTTAGGTATTCATTTTTAAAAGTACATCTTTCAGCAACATGCACATTTTCAGGAATAAGATCTGAAAGAACTTTTGCGGAGAGATCAATCCACTGAGGAATTGTGCAGCACTGTTTGCCTGCTGCCCACAGCAGAAACTGCCACGGTCTCAGAGCAAGGTTGGTTTGCCCTGTTTCAAAATGTGTTCTCCAGTTATGCAAGAGGAAGAAAATAGCCTGGAATAAATTATTTCAAACTGCTTGAAAATCAAGATGCTCTCATTGATCCTCATTCTCAGCCACTGTTTGGGGTTACATTATCTCAATTCCCGTGGAACGTAGCTCTCCTTAGAACAGACAGAAGTTGCATGGCAAGTGGCCAGTCCTGGGAGAGGAGAATGGCACTCCAGCAGGTGTGTCAGCTTTTACATAGGTTTGAAAGCTGATCTCATCTTGCTGTCACACAGAAGGAATCTCACCAAAGCTCCAGCATTCACAGTACATAGTCACTCTCCAGTAATTGTGAACACAGAAAAAAAAAGTAAAAAAACACCCAAAATCTAAAATTAAATACCATAGATTTTCTAAGAATTATTCAGAGCTATCAACGTAAGTATTACAAACATGATCCAATCAGACTTTTTTTTTCCTTTATAAAATATCACTGGCTTATTAGGAAAATTAGTAAGTCTAACAAATTAAACAGCAAAGTGTTTTTCCGTAATTACTCATACAACCTTACAGGGCTCCCCAGTGTTGTTTCTGTATTATTGTTAAACACAATTCTGTGACTTGATAGTGCTCAGCTCTAACAGAGTATCATGGCAAAGCTCAGTCTCTTCTTTGTTTGTTTATTCCTCAATTTGGATTTCTTATTCTATTATCAAAACTCTAAAAAAAAATAAATGATTTCACTAGGCTGATATGATTAAGTCAGACTGATCCTGATCTGAGCTTAATGATCTTACATTAAAAAAAATGCCTAGATTTCAGCTCTGTTTCCTTGATTGTTTGAGCAGTTCAATTTGAGTCATTCTCAAAAACTGCAGTTTTGCTCAGAGTTCTTCCATTTTTTCCCTCTCCTAATGGTTGCCAGCGTGAAAATAATTGAGCCTCTTTCTGTTCATTGTCTTAGCCTAGAGCTGGAGATAGCAAGTAGGATATCATAAGATAAGTGATGATATTTACACAGGCCTCTAAAACATTTCCCATTCTTAAGACTGAGATAAACATGGAAGCCATCAGACCCATCCTGCAAGTCCAAGCTGGTTGAGAATCTCCAGTTCCTCTCCATACTCCAGATTTAAGTGATTCTTAGAAGAGTTGGTGTAACTACAAACTGAAACAGATTCCTTTGGGTTTCTGTATGTCCTCTCACAGGTCACCACTTGCAAGAGTTACAGGGTCTCCAAATTGAAAAACATTTTTGCATAACTATGAAATGTATGGATTAGACTCAGATCTTAGTAGTACTGTCATAAATTTTCCCTGATTCTAGTAAAGTTACAACAGGCAAAACCAATTTAAGCAGGTATGCTACTATAATATTACATTTTCAAACAGATTCCACACTATAATGAAGAAATACAACATTTCTTATTGCTGATTACATCAGAAAATGGCAAACAAAAACTTATATCTAAACTGTGCCCTGGAGCATTGTGAACTAAGGTGTGAATGTCATTCTCAACTATGCCACTTATACTGAGTGGAACTGGGGCTTGAATTCACTTATTTACAGACGTTTGGAAAGCTTGATGTCAAAGTGAAATAAAAAATATCTTGGTGGCCTTCAAATTTTGAACAAAACATTTATAATATCACCATGGATTCAATTCCACTCTGTCTTTCTGATATGAAAAGGTCTCACTAACTCTTCTCCCACAATTTTATTTTGCCACTGTTAGGGAGGTCAAACAGCAAGAAGAAGAACCTGAGGTGGATGTATGGGAGCTCCTGAAGAATGCCAATCCCAGTGAATACGAGAAGATTGCTTTTCAGTATGGTATCACTGACCTGAGAGGCATGTTAAAGCGTCTGAAGCGCATGAAAAGAGAGGTGAAGAAGAGTGCAGGTATGGATAAGGCAAAGTATTATTATGTTCACTGGTCAAACATAACTATGCACCCAATAAGCCCAAATACTGTATTATACTTACCCTCTACCTCTATGCCTATATGTCTGATGAAAGGAAAGAACTGGAAGCTTATGTATGAATTGTTCAGCTTGAAGAAAGTTGTTCTCTATCCAGATTCATCACAGAGAGGTGCTGAAAAGTTAAAATGGAGAAGGAGCACCCTTAGCACCTGGAACCAGTTTGTCTGGTCCCTCTCAGCAGTTGGGTCAGATGGGTAGGAAGGCGCTGCCAGTTGTATCAGAATTTTTCAGTAGACATGGTTTTACCTACAGAAAGGTCCTTATATGGCATGCAAAACATCTCTATAGGATGTTTTCCACCTCATGCTACCTTTACTATAAATTGAAATCTCGTAAACGGTAAGATTAAAATAAATAAATTAAATAAATTATATATTAAATCAATTAAATAAAATATTCTGTTCAAATTTTGTAGTTCTACTACTGCTGTGTTGACAGATTCAGCCTTCTGCAGTTAGACATATGCATGATATAAATCTTAACAGAAGCTGATAATTTAGCTATTGGCAGTATTTTTTGAAGCACCATTTATTTTTGAGCCACAGGTTATCTGCTTCTCTGAGTTTAACATTTGTGGCTGGCAGTAGCTAAATGCTGATGCTGAAGTGTTTTGAAATGTTTGAGTTCTGGCCTTACATTTTCCAGAACAACTTGGTCTACTTTTGCTCATATAAAATAATTGTTTCAAAAAGCTCCGCTAGGATTCATGAAGTGAATTTTTGCCTGGTTTCATGCATTTTTGCAAATGTTTTGCAGCCATAACATTTATCACAAGTGGAGTTGCAACCTACAGACAGAATCAAGAAAATTAAACTGGCTTTTAGACAAACCATTTATTTTTATTCAGAGAAAAAAAATTAGATTAAAATTCCTTGTTAACTAAGTGGTGTTGCTGGTAGAGAGGTCCTTTCTAATAGATTCATTCTAGATGCTTCCATTGCACAAGCTATATACAGTTTTACTCTGAAGTAAAGGTTCTCAGCAAGCTATCAAAGTTATATCTAGCCAATCTTAATCAGAACCATGTTATACTGCAAAGCCATGAAGAGATATTAACTAATCAGGATAAACTGAGCTGCATAACTCAGTAGTTCTACTGGTACTACTAGAAAAAAAAACTGATTTGACTGAACTAGCCCAAGAATATAGAGTGATGCATAACATGGCATGTATATATATTCTGATAAATTTCATGAGGTTTATGCAATGTCATTTCAACATTCATATTATTTATTTTCCAGTCTTCATTTACAGTAACATCTCTCTTCCACAACAGCATTTTCCAAAGGACTTGATCCTGCATATCAGGTGGATAAAGGAGGCAAAGTTAGGTTCATGGTAGAGCTAGCAGATCCAACAGTGGAACTCAAATGGTATAAAAATGGCCAAGAAATACGACCAAGTGCAAAGTAAGTGGTTTTATTGTATGTTAGCTGTAAAACGGGTATATATATATTTCCTTGATGTGTCTCACATAGATCTATATCTTTGATTAGGTTTACACCAATTTTATTTCTGACATTTCTTTACACAGAAGAAGTAGGTAAAATATGCTATCTTGCTCATGACCCAAAAATACGCACTGTATACTAGTTGTTGACATAGATTGTGTGCTTTATCTCGAGAGAGGAGAGTTGAAGATCCTTAACAAAGCATAGAGCCATTTCCTGCTTGGTAGGTTAAAACAAAGACAAAACCAGGAAGAATTTTGAAAAAATAAGTCTCCTCAGTTCTGTTAGAATAAGGTCAGAATCTTTCTGTAGAAATTGGTTACTAAAAGGGGAGACCTTTAACATAAAGCCTACCTGGCTCATAAGCTACCTATAAAATTGTCTCTGATCAACACTATCTGTTAATTAGGTAATCAACCATATAGAGAAAAGGGGAGTAAGGTTTTTTTCTCTCTCTCCACTATCTGGTTAACACAATGAAGCAAACAACCTGAATTAGTTCACAGCAATTTCAGACACACACAAATTATTTACTGTGCCCAAGCTTCTCCATCATCTGTGTCACTTATGTATCGGTTTACTCTCTGGTTTTACCTATAATAAGCAAGAGGCTTCTTGGATGCAGGAAGAGCAATGGCTGGAACTTGAACCCAATCCCTAATATTCTCATATCTTTCACAACCTAGAGTACAAAATCGCATTCCACAGTCAAACACAGATAAGAATGGTAATGCATAAAAATGTAATGTTCCTCAAATATTGTTTGAAAGCACAAAAACCTTTCAATTTTCTCTTTCTGGCCCAGTGAAAAATTGCAATTAGCAAACATCCTATTATGAGGAATGGAAGATCTATTCTAACGCTGCTTCAGTCAATGAAGAATTTGGATTAATATATGTGACTAACAAAGAAAAAGTGATAAAAGTGGTATATTTTCTTTAACTTCCATGAGCAGTTTAGAACTGCCTTGCAAACATGCATTCTTCTTCAATAGAAGGACCTGGACTGAATGCTCCAGTGCATTTCTTCCAGGCTGCTGAAGCAGCTGTCAGATGCTAATGAGCTTTGGTCACTGCAAACCTGGAGCAGAATTAAACTGGTGACATAAAGGTGAAAGGCCACATATCCCATTACCAAAACCCAATATCCCATTACAGATCTCTTGTGCCATCTGGCCTACCAATAATATTAACTTCTTAACCTTGGCTATTATTATACTTCATAAAAATGTTAAGAGTGTTGGAATGAGGATGGTCTCCTGTTACTGGTTATTTTCATCTTTACTCATCTAGAGTTTCAGTCTCCATTTTATTCTGCTGTTTTTTTATTATTATATTTTTGTATCATGTAAGCCTGGAATGTTGTAACAAACCAGAAACTGTTTGTTATCACTCTAGCCATAGCTCTTTTTGCTACAAAGTCTATGATCGTTCTTAAATTCTCTGTTGAAACATGGAAATTGCATCCCAGGACTTTTTTTCCAGGTCTACGTAAGAAAGAGGGTTTTCCCCTCTAGTGATTGCTAAAAGATTTTATATATATGTTTCCATATACATAAAGAAGAGCTCCAGCAGTTTTGCTAATGCATCTTTGCTGTATTCTATTCAAACAGATACATTTTTGAGCACAAAGGTAACCAGCGAATTTTGTTCATCAATAACTGTACGATGACAGATGACGCTCGCTATTACGTAACAGCTGGTGATGAGAAATGCTCCACAGAACTGTTTGTGAGAGGTAACTACACCAGCCTGTTCCCATTTCAACTGGTGTAAATTGATATGGTTCCTTGAACTGCAGCAAAAATTAACAGGAAGGATATAGCTCAGTGTATGTTTGCATTTGTATTAGCAGGGTTAATATGCATTTTTGTGATTCCTGATCATTTTTATTCATCCCGTACTTACTAATCTAGTGAAAACACAGAAATGGAGATACTGTTTATTTCATGTTTCATACCGTCCACTGGGATCCAGTGGGACTGTGGTTCTCCTCATAGTTTCAAAGCCATTTTGGAACTCATTTGTCTCTGTAATGGCCTTCCCTTACACACTTAGGAACCTGGCAACCCTGATAATGGTCCAGTTGACCTGTTCCAAATACTCTAAAATCAGGCATTCAAATACTGATTTTAGTTTCATCTGCCAATATTTAAGGGAAGATTCTACCAAAATCTACGAATGAGTGATCTTTCCCTTAATATTTTTGATCCTGTAGTGTTGATAGTCTTATCTCCTATAGCATGATTTTAAAAACATCCTTCTCTCTCAGATTGTAAATCTGTAATTTTATCTTGTCAAAGATCCTCCAATTTTGGTGACCAAAGGCCTGGAGGATACCAGTACCTATGTTGGTGAACGTGTAGAACTGAGTTGTGAAGTATCTGAGGATGATGCAAATGTTAAATGGTACGTCATTCTTCAAACAGATATTGTTTTCTTTGATACAGAGATGGGGCCAGGGAGGGGGAAGGAGGTAAAGAAAGATTTTATTTGTAGGCATAAATGTGGAGAGCATTTTCTGTATCAGGTATCAGTTTAAAAAAACTCAGGAGAGCATTACTCAGTGAAGTAGTAACAGCAAGAACATTCTTACACATTCATGGGTTTAACACTTTTTTGTGTCTTAAGTCTTGCAAAGTCTTCTCCAGAAGTTTCAGTCTATGAGATTCTTACTCACACAGGACTTTTATTGGGAAAATAATCACTTTTTCTTTTCTATTAGGTTTAAGAATGGTGTAGAGCTTACCAATGAACCTAAATCTCGGTATCGAATCAAGGTTGAGGGTAAAAAACACACTTTGATTATAGAGGAGGCTGCAAAAAATGACAACGCAACTTACTCAGTAATGACAACAGGAGGCCAATCAGAAGCTAAGCTTTCTGTTGATTGTAAGTATAATATATCTTGCTCTTGATAGTGACGGTCATTGTTTGCTAAATAACAGAAATAATTTGCTTGCCTTTTTCTGAGTTTAAAGATAGCTTTATGGTCCATAGCAATTTCTTAGCTGTAGACCTCCAGTCTGCAGTGACTGACAATGAATTAGTCCTGCTTGAAAATTCCTGTCAGTTTATTAAGATGGAAAACAAAGCTATCCATGGAAAGATATAATAGGTCAACAAACTGAGACATTCAGTGGCAGTACTTGCTTTTCTTGAATCCTTTCAGGCTTTTACAGGAAAGACAAAACCAAGACTTTTTAGATAAAAGGAGTGAAAAAAAATGTGTTGGAAAAAAAAATATATTCTACTACCAGGTGTACTGTTAACATGCATCAAGACTATTTGAACTAAACTAAAGGCACTAAAATGAGACTGTATCTCACTCAGCACTGTTTGAATATATCTTTAAAACACTTGTGGTTTCTAGCAAAATGTATGTATCCATATAATCTGCCACTTTGGTTTTAGGCAATTGGTTAGTTTGCAACTGGATGCAGATTTGGTCTTGCTGGCATTAGTGAACAAGGTAGATTTTGAGTACCTGTTTGTGGTAAATTTGTTACACACTGTAAACTTACCATATATCATACATACAAACATTCTACTTTTAACTATTTTATACAAAATGACATCCTAAGCACAAACAATTCACAGGTCTCTTACCAAGCTGAAAATTATCCACTGTGGCTATTGGGCTCCATCATCTTACCACAATACCACAGTGTTTTATGCTTCTTCTGTTGAGAACATTCCAGCCATCTTTCTACAAAATGCAGTTTTTTTCCACCATTCCTTGTTTTATATGTCAGATTATAGGCAGGCATATTTAGTGCACATGCACAGTGCTGTGTGTTCAGCCTGGACTCTGGTCTACAGCATCTGATCTTTCAGAAAGTGGAAAAGGCTCAAGTTTCACAAAAGCTAGTAGTATTTTTGTGTTTTCACAAGGGTGGTTAAGGCAGCTTAGCAAACACAAGAAGTAGCGTATGAAATAACCTTACACTATCCACCATGTCCTTTGATAAGAGCCGGACACAAGAGGCTCATAAAGACAGATATTAGTTGCAATTAACTACTTTGTTAAGTCTCCAAGTTATCTTGTGTCATCTGGGAGACTTCTGTAAGTAGTCAGATTGCAGGAATGCTAGGTAGACCTTTCTCTAAGAGCGGAGCACTCTTAGGAGTAGGACCGGGGACACAGGTCTTACAGATTTCGAAAGTTTCTTACTGGATTCTAGGGGGTATAAGTGCCCTCATCTTGCACTGAAACACCAAAAAGGGAACAGAATTCAAATACACTCCAAGTGAATATAGATTGGGTTTTCTTACCAGGGCATGGATATTTTGGATCAACTTTTCATTTATTAACATTAATATCTCTACTTCTCTTTTCCTAAGTGAGACCACTGAAGATTTCGCTTGCACTAGAAGACCAGACAGTGAGACTTGGACAGGAAATCCACCTGAAATGTGAGATATCTGAGAATGTGGAAGGGAAATGGTACAAAAATGGACAACTGATTGAAGCTAGTGACCGTGTGAAGCTTTACCATAAAGGAAGGTAAGCATGTTGAATATTGATTTGATGTAACTTCATCTTCAGAGAAACAACCTATATGACGGTTATTTCTCTGAAAATGATATATTAATCAATGTGTTAAGCCTAAACTTTGTCCTTTAAACGCAGTTAGTTTTAAGATCATAAATGCCACGTCTCCTTGTCCTTTTTCATACTGTGTCTTTTGGCTGTGGAATACAATAATAAAAAATCCTTGAAACATCTATTTTTAAGTGATTCTTTTTTTCTGGATTTTGCCATTGCTATTAGTATGGGATATTAGGTAGTAAGATCAAAATAATTTGGGGGCATTAAAGAATATTTAGATTTAAAAACAACACTATTTTCTGATTGTTTTTTGGTTTCTGCACCTTTTAGACACTTGCACAGATCTCCTAAATTTTTTTCTTCCGACTTTTCCTCATAGTCTCAAGTAGTCTTCAAAAATAATTTACATGGCTTTCTTTTTCAATTTTTTACAGAATCCACAGATTTATTATAGCAAGTGCTGCTGTTGATGATGAGGGTGAATACATGTTTGTACCAGATGCTTACAATATTAATATTCCATGCAAAGTACATGTTGTGGGTAAGTACTTGGCACAACAAGTTACAAATTTCATTTCTTTCTCTGGCCTTTGGAAAGTGAAAACCGTGTGAAATATCCTTGAATACAATCAGTTTGTTTCTTCTGAGCAGATGCTTACCTCAAAATACAGAGCTGCTACTTTGGCAAAGTGACATTGAGCTAGTAAGAGAGTATTTTGCCTCAGGATCTGGTCATAGTTTACAAGCCTGGGGTGATTGAATTCCTAAACTTAAACTACTGTTACTAGTTTGTGTAAAGCAGCTCTTGGTATAATTTTTCAGACCTGCAGTGTTGTATTCTTTGAGGAATGGACTTGTTTACATTTCAGCATATGATTTAGCTTAGTAAAATAGTGAAGTAGGTACATATTCACACATACTATACTTATATTTAATTATATCCAGAGAATTAAATGTTTCTGGTCAGCATTTATTCAATAATCTAATTAGAAGGTTTGTTAATAACTCCAGTCTTTAAAAAAAATAAAAATTTAAAAAAGAAATACAATAAGGTATTGACTCTTCCTACAACAGTACCCCACTGACATTTAACTTCAGCCTGTGAATTTGAAATGACAGCAATACAAATCAAGGTTTTAAAAAATATGACTTGCAATTGATACTGAAAGAAGTGGGATACTTCTGTTAGAAATAAGATTGGCAAGAATTAGGGAGAATGACTAGAGGAGGGGAGGAAGAGTACTCTCAAAGATAAAAGCTTCTAATACGTTAAAATAAGAGTATGCTCATCAGTTGTTCTCTGTATGCATGGAATACAACAGAAGTAACCATTTAATTTCAGGAAAAGTATTTAGATAAAGAAAATGTTTAAAATATTAGAATAATGATGCCTGAAGCATGATAATTCCTAATGTTGAAAGTCTGCAACAGAAATTTTCAAGAGCCACTTAGAGGAAGTCTCTCTCTCACATGTTACCTAAATATAAACAACTTCATCGATTATTTTCTTCCAAAAATTTTTCTTCACTATTTTTCTTCCAAACAGATATTAATCGAGTAAAAATGCCAGGAAAATACGAACAGTAGAGCATATTTCTCTGTACTTCAAACTTGTTCCCAGGTTCTTAAATTTTCTAAGCGGCAGTCCTATGAAAATTTGGACGGTTTCTTCTTTTCCAGATCCTCCTAAACTTCACCTTGATGGTCTTGGAGAAAATAACACTGTGACAGTAGTGGCAGGAACCAAACTACGACTTGAGATCCCTATCACTGGCGAGCCAACACCAAAAGTCATGTGGAGTAAAGGGGATAAGGTACATCAGCATTATATGCGTTTTTAAAGATCGAGGAGGAGCTTTTTTCCCTCCAAAAATAATCTCTAGTCCGGTGGAGATATAGAAGGAAATAACAAGGAGATACATTAACCTGTTGCACTTAAAAACTCTCCTCCCTCAAGTGTGAAGGGTGAAATTGACAAATAGTGTTTAGAATCTTATGGATCTTTTTGAGGAAACACTTGACATTGTTAAGGAAAAAATTATGCTTTTTCTAAAAATAAATTTAAAGGAGAGGGATATATTAGATGCAGAAGAAATCTAATGAAAATCTACCAGGCAGCTACTTATTGTGTATATAATGTCCAGAATTCCAGTTTTGACAGGTAGACATAGTAAGGTCTGGTTTTGAAATAAATAAATTTTGATGAAGTGTCAAGACTAAAATGAAACATTCACCTGGGTTCTGCATATGGAGTCTTTGTGCTAAACTTTGCCAAGATGTACTCCTGACTGTATGATATCAAAAAGCCAGACTTTCCATGTTTAATTTTTCATTCTGGTATGTGCAACATTGCTGGTATGTGCTGAATTTCTCAGAACTACCTGGTCAAATCTTATTAGCATTTTTCAAATCTTACTGGTATTATTAATACCAGAGCCTTGTTCAAATGAGAAGTTCCTCTAGGAGATCTTCTTATTCAAAAATGTGTAAGAATTTTAAAAACAATGAGGACAAACTACTGACCCTCACAATCCATCTCATCATTCAACTGTATGAATTACATTTCAATTTTTTTAAGATTCTTTTTTTAAGAATCTTTTAAAAATCTTGTATAGATTCTTTTTCTTTTAAGAATCTTTTAAAAATCTTTTACATTAAATCTTTTTTAAGATTCCACTACCCTCTTTTCATCAAGTAGCGTTGATTAAAGCATGTTCTTGCTCACAGGGTAATCGAGCCTACTGAACCTTCCTCTGAGATGTAATGGCTGACCTGAGTACTAAACAGTTACAGTATTTTAAAGCTACTTATTTATTTATCACTTGGTTAGTTTGTCCTTTTTGTGATAATCAGATGACTGAAATACTAAGCTTTAATATGACTTTCTGTTTGGAAACTTCTTGTTGAAGTGTTCAGTAACGCACTTGAACTTTGATTTTTGAACATTTTGATTCTTAAAGCAGAAAACGTGCTTTTTCCCTCTGCTTACTTTGATTCCTAGTGGATCACAGACAGTGGAAGAATACGTGCAGAAACATATTCAGACAGCAGCTGCCTGGTCATTGACACAGCTGAGAGAGAAGATTCAGGTCCTTTCAGAATAACATTAAAGAATGAAGCTGGGGAGGACTCAGCCCTTATCAACATAAAAGTAGTTGGTAAGTCATGTGGAAAAGTGCACATGAGCAATGTCATTTACCATGGCTCTTTTCAATAAATTATCCCTGAGAACACTGCTTTTCTGCACTCCGATATCATCTGCATTCTTCTTCCTATTATCTCTCCTGTAAATGCTGTCGTCCCTCTGTTTTTCCTCATTTCCAGGTGTGAAATTAAGATGCAAGGATACTGAGGCAGAAAGTTAATTAAGGACACAATAGCTTAGTATGGATTTAAGTAGGAGTTAATTACCACCCCTGCTGCCACCTCACCTTGCTGAGGCTAAGCTTCTGAGGTTGCCTCCTGTTGCTTCTAGCATTCTGTATTTTCCAGGCGGCTGTGGCTCTTTCTTGGCACGTGCCCTCAAGTGCCCCTCAAGCGTCTTGACAGTGCTGAAGAACTTGGCATTTATCCCTACCTATCCCACTTGTCAGGATGCACAGAGACCTCCTTTCTCTTTCTTTTCATTAGGAACTCCTAGATCATGTTTCTCAGATCAGTATCCATATAAAATGATGCAAAAGTTACTTTAAAAAAAAAATCACTGTGCTGTAGCTCGTTGGCCAGAAATTTTATTCCAAATGAGGAAATTTAATTTCAGTTTTTTCTCAGAGGAGTTACAGAACTGTGTCTCCCCCAGAAGTGCCTTAAATGGGGGCTCTGCACTGCTACTACTGAATCCAAAAACTGTGCAAAGAAGAGCTTGAGATGCTCTGAGCCAAATGTGCAATGCCATCGAAGCACCTATGGTCAAAGTTCTCTACCCCAGAGAGTTAAGTACAAATGAGGGCTACCAATATATTTTATGTACTTGGAGGACTTCCCTGCATCATTATTGTGCTTATTCCAGAAAACAGTGATTTAGAACATTTAAAATGAGTTTATGACATTTTACCTTGTCATTTTTCTATTGTCAACCTCATGTAGCTCCCAGTCCAGCCTTTGTGTAACCCCTTCTAAGAATTGTAATTTTCCCCATGCATTACCCCTAACATTCTCTAAGTCATAGATTTGTTTTACTAACATATATATATGGATAAAATGTCATGTAAGATGATAGAAAACATTAAGTGCCCATGGGTCTTTGTGAAACTGTACTTGAATTACTTACAGAAGATTAGAGAAGAAGGACTAGCAAAGCAGGTGCTCTCAAATCTCAGAACATTAAATGGATGCTAGAATATCTTACCTACGAAGAATTTAGTCCAGAAAGGCCAAGTATATTCACAGTATCTATGTCTCCTACTTACTGTTCTGAATGTTGTCACTCACATTTTAGTGATGAGTTTTTGTCTCCCTCTGCTGATCCATTCTTACCAATGTACTTGTGCTCCATTCATTCTCACCGTTTCTTGTCAACACAGGATTATTTTTGTGGTTGACTCTACATTTTCTATTCTAACTTATCCAATTGGACTTCTAAAACTAATCAGATTTGTTTATTGTTTGAGGTATTTTATTACAGGCTAGGCATAAAAAGGAAAGATCTTTTTTTTTTTCTTTTTATTATATATATATATATATATTTTTTTTTTTTTTTTAATTTTTTTTTCAACCACAGATGTGCCTGATCCTCCTCAGGCACCAAATGTGACTGAGGTGGGTGAAGACTGGTGTGTTATGACATGGGAACCTCCAGCAAATGATGGTGGATCACCCATCTTAGGTAAATACTTTTCCTTTCATTTGGTGATGCTCTAATATAGAGAAAAGAAACTCATTCCAAGTAATGGGCATCAAAGTATCAGAGTTCAACTCTGGCACTGCAGAATGGCACTTTGAATAGTCTATCAAAAGAATATTACATCCAATCTTTGACTTTATCATAAGTTTTACCTGTTATCCATTTCCCTACTTGACAGATGACTTTTTATAAAGGCAAAACTTGAAGAGTTTGAATGTTAGCAGCAATTTCAGAACCAACTGTAATATAGAAGAAGGTCACAGGAGATCAGAGGCCAGCAGAATCAGGCTCTCCAAACTAAATAAAATTAAATTTAAAATGTTAGATTAAAAAATTAATTGAAATTTGAAAAAAGCCTGTACATGGCCATAGAGGCCAAACATGTGACTAGCAGCTAATCTGCAAGGAGAAAAATTAAGCAGTAACTCCCAAAGAACTCTGAAGCTAGAAAGACATATTGAGCCATATTGAGAACTACAGGTCACTTTCACTAAAACATGCACACTTCACTACTGAACTTTTTGCTATTACTTGCTGTAATACTGTTTTGCTTGGTCTATAGGATATTTCATTGAAAGGAAAAAGAAACAAAGCTCACGGTGGATGAGGCTGAATTTTGAATTGTGTAAAGAAACAACCTTTGAGCCAAAGAAGATGATTGAAGGTGTTGCTTATGAGGTCCGTGTATTTGCTGTTAATGCAATAGGCACTTCCAAACCAAGTATGCCTTCAAAGTCTTTTGTTCCTTTAGGTAAGTAAACAAGGTTAGAGAAATGGCTATGCATTAGACAATTATTCTTGATACACTACTGCAGTCATTTAATTATATAACTGTAGTTCTTTCTACATTTCTGTTGCTCACAATCTGTCTATACTAAGTGCTGTGTAAATTATATATTCATATATCTAAATATATATCTTTCATAAGCAAGAAACAAAATAGGTACAGACAGAAAAATGTTGCACTACAATACAGTAGTGACATACTATAGGTGAGCCCAATATATTATAGTCAATACTTTTCAAGTACCATAATTGACAGCTTCATGTCTCTGCATATTGAGTCAATTGTATCAAACTATTGGAAGTTTAGATAATTGAGAATAATGAAATATTGTCTTAGCTGTTCTGTTTCTCCTGTTGTAAGTTCAGCCAGACAAGGACCTTTGGTGAAAAATAGCCAGAAAAAGTGAGCAGAAGTCTAAACATAAAACAAAAATAAAATTAAAAAAAAAAGAGCACCTAACATGGGTATATAGTCCATCAGCAGAAATAAAAATAAATGAATTTGCATGCCTCACTCATCCTTATTAACTGAAGTATGGTAGCGGGTTTTCTGTTTTGGTGATTTTTTTTTCAGAAGAATCATATATTATCAATACCTTTTTCCAACTACAAACCAAACCAGGCTAGATCATTTTTCACACCATTTTTTATTTTCTCTTATTATTTGTACTTTATATTAATGCAACAGCTAGAGGCTTTGTCACTTTCCTTATGACTGCTAACTTGTTGGCCTTTTAATGTAAAGAAAGAATTGTTCAAACTATTGTTATAGTCAGAAGTCCTTGTAAAACAAGTGTCAGTTTTGAAAATTAGCAAAGGTTTCCACCTTGCTCAGCAGAAGAGGAAGGAGGTGACAGCTATTATTGCTACAGCATGCTTCCTTCTTTTGTGAAAATACATACTGTCGTGGAACACGCTACCCAAAACTTCTCTACCACACCTCTCACCTCCCTTCGTCCTCCTCATTCCCCAGAGGGAGGAATCTGACTCTTTGGGTCAGGCTGTGAGCAGGTTCAGGAGGAGGTATCTGTTCTGGTTTGGTTCTAAATGGGAAAGAAGTTTCAGGATGACTGGAAATGCCTGGATTTTGCCTTTTGCCTGAGATCTAGATGATGCCAGATTAGAGGAAAACATCAAAAATATAAACTTTTATGAGAACAGGAGTTTTCAGCCTTCTCCCTGCTGCCTTCTTGTTTCAGCTGTTACCAGTCCACCAACTCTCCTGGCAGTGGATTCAGTAACCGACACCTCAGTGACGATGAGATGGAGGCCACCAGACCACATTGGAGCAGCAGGTTTAGATGGCTATGTTGTAGAGTACTGCTTTGAAGGAAGTAAGTGACAACAACTGTGGTATGTTACTCAAAGTGAAAATACGTGAGACCTCCGTTATTTCTTTAGGTGTCAGCTGCACTCACTTTGGGGTGATTAATCAGTTAGAAACCCCCAGCATCAGGATTCTGTTCAAGCTCCTCCTTAGTTTATATTTCAGATCCCACTCATTCTTGTAGTTTAACCCACTTTACATATGATGTGAACAACAAATCAAAAAACTATATAATGTGTTGCAGTTCAGGTAAAGACACATTAATGCCCTTCCTCTTCTTTTAGCTCGATGAAAAGTGGAAGCAACAAAGTGAGTGTGAATGGATTGATGGATGGATGAATAGGAAATAATAAATTGATATATGTGTGATCCAGATTGTGTGTAGGTTGGCTGGGTTTTAGGGACAGGAGGTCCTCAGTGTAATCATCTCTATCTTGACATATTACTAATGGGCTACTTCAAGTGCCAGTTCACAATATAGGTGGACAGCCTTCCCAACAACTGGCTATAGAAATTAGCTAGGCATGTAAACTTTATGTCTGAATATTGAATTTCCACAACATTTCAAGCTAATTAGATAAAGGATCTTTAACTATGTCTATCTGTCATAAAACTACATATAGCTGAAGGAGAATGATAAAGATGTAAGAGACAATAAAGACAATAAAGTAAAATAGGATGGAATAGGGAAACACCCTATATTTTACAACCAGTAGCTCTGGCAATTAAGCAGAGCAATTTAGTATTTTTCAACAGATTTTATTCTGAGTTGACATCAAATGAAGTCTGTTTTCAAAAAGTAACTCCCTTAAGTTTTTAACTTAAAAAAAGAATAAAAACTATTTTAAAAAAGTGACTGTTAACTCCTAGGTGAGTACCAAACAGGCAAGACTGGTGTGTGCAATATCCAGCCTCTGTGGGCAAACATCAAACAATGGAACTTCAGTAATGTTGAGTGTTTGGATGAATGAGACTTTTTAATGTTGATTCCTGTCAGTTGCTGCTCTTCACTGTGTTGTAAAACAAGTGATGAGTTCAAGGCTTTTTTTTTTTCATAAAGACATCTATTTCAGTAGAAGAGTTTCATGAATACAATTCTCAGCCTGGATACAAGAGGTAGAGGAGAGAACTTGTCATTCACAATGTCACATATTTCAGATTCAGTAAATCCAGGAAACTAGTAGTTTACAAAATAGGACAGATACTACAGGAGCAGAGAATCCTCAGCTCCCACTTGAGTGAGAGAGAGAGGGAGTGAAGCACATTGGTTTTTCTCGAGAGTACTCCACATGTGAGAGCATTGAGATGAATATCTGTAAGGAACAGGAAGACTGCAAGAAGCTCAGAGGTCTGGAGAAGATTACCTGAAGGCGGACACAGCAGGAACAACAGGAAGGGTTTTCCCTGAATACTGGGAGGGAGCTGTGGAAACAGGTCAGAAAGAGTAAGCATACAGTGTCAGATCAAGGTGCAGCATTACTATAATCATAGATTCACAGAGTTAGCAATGTTGGGAAGACCTTCAAGATCATTTACTCTGACTGTCCACATACCACTGTCTGTTTCATTTGCATAGTCAAAAGGTAAAAGGAAACTGAAAATGTGTATGTTGTATATTATACTCTGTTTAGCATTTGTAGGATGATGGTGAAAAATAAGAAGTGTTTGTAATGTATCACAGTCATGAGATCCTTGACATTATAGCATGTGATTGGTAGGTTAGGCAAAATGAGAGAATGAGAAATGTATGTATATACAATAATCCAAACTAAGGTGTTTAAATGAATCTTCAAAATGTACCTTTTAAGGGCTGTTATAAAGAAGATCACTGTATAGCCATTCAATGGAACAATTTTTTTTCAGATATGTTTACAATATTAAACATAATGTTTAATATGACAAACATATGTTTGTCATGTGTTTAGAATGTCAGTGAACGTCATCTTATTATTTAACTCAGTTAAAATACAATGGGTACCATGTATTTTGCATAAGTTTCTGATTGTTTATGTAAATCTATATGTCTTCTGTACATGTATATACACCTTTATATGCACAGTTAACATTATTCATGTATATATGTTATGAAAATGGCTAGGAAGAATCAAGCTTAGTAGAAAATTGTAAGAAGAGTTGTGTTACTGAAATATACAGTATTTTCTATACATGTTAACTTTTTTTTCTTTCCTGCAATATCTCAGTGCTTCCCTTTCTCAGCCCTTTCAGTGCCTTTTCTGTTTTGGACTAATTTATTCTATACTGTTTAATATCTTTTTAACTTCAAGATACTTCTTATGACTGTGTCTATATTCCTTCTGCTGTACCTATTTTTTACTTCTCTGTTTGTAAACTCATCTGTCTTCATTCCTTCACCGTCATCACTGACATAGCTTTAAAGAGGGTTTTTTGGAGCTTCCTTATTTTGGCATTCATTAGGAGAAATCACAAGCTGAAAATAGGAAGTCTGAATATGTGTGTCATCCATCTGTGTAATTATAATTTAGAGGAATCATGTATGATTGACATCAGTTTGTCTTTGTGAAAACTGGTATTTCCCTTTGGCCTGACTCTCGTAAGTTGATCAACATGGTGGACTTTTGGATTTCGTTAATTAAGGTAGCGCCTTTGACAGCTCTCTCTATATAACTCAATAGGAGTTTCATCATGTGTGTATGCATCTGGCATTGCATGGGAATGAATAACACATTATGTATGGATAAAGAACTCCCTTCCCTAGGGCTAGCTTACAACATTCAACTTGAACCTCTTGTTTTGGTGCGCTAGAATAGACCAAGTCTTGTTGACACTGGATAAGCCGATTCTTAGCAATGTACTCTGCTGGCTGGTTCTTCTGTGATATTTCAAGTCTAGCTTAATTTTCCTTTGGATGTTGTGTTTATCTGCCTTTAAAGGGCCACTGCACCTGCAAATAATCTGTTTTTTAGCTAGTAAAAAGGCATTTCAGAGAGTCTCTGTTGGCTGAGATCCTTGTGAGTGTTCCCATCTAGGAACATGTGTAAATACTAGAAGTATTTTTATTATCCTCAAAATAGCCAAGTTCAGGCTTCCAGGAAATCCAGGGCAATGATAGCTTTGATCAGGAAATAAAGCCTTAGTGATTACACTGTATCTGTCATCATCTGTGATTTTCTTTCTGTGTTGCCTTTAGTTAAATGTGTTCTTTTCCTCTGTCTCCCTAAGTTTACTTTTCAAGACTCTTTTTTTCTGTCTCTCTTCTCAAAATTCTTCCCAGAGTTCCTTTTCTCTTCTATGATGTTTTCTCTTCTATGATGTGTTGTTTTTTTTTTTTCTCCCATCATCATTTTGCTTCATTTCTCTCTTTTCCAAGTGTTCTTTCATCTCTTTCTTTTCATCTTTCCAGGGCTGTGATCAGCCCAAAGAAAGAACCAACTTCATCTCCTCCTCTTTCTTTATCCTTTAGCTTTCCTGTGAGAATAACTGTTCTTGATCTAGATGCCTCCTTCCCACCTCTTCCCGCCTCTTTTCTACCTGCAGACTCCCTATGTATAGGTCCTCTAAGTCTTTAAAATCTAGCACCTTACTAACAGGAATTTGTAACCACTGGCAAAATTCTCCATCTGTGTGAAAGTGAGTGTCTCTGATTAATTTTAAAGCTGGATTCTCACAAGGTATATCGACAGATCAGTCTGAGGAATTGATGGAGCCACCTTTCAACCTGGAAGGTAGAGTATACAACAAGGGATTTAAAACTTCTTTAGTGAAAGAAAACTCTCTTTATAAAAGTAAAGAAATTTCTGAGAGTACGTGCACTCTCAGAGTTTGCAGCAGTGCATGTATAAGGGAGGGGGAGGTGTTCAGGAAACACTCATTGATTACAATCCTCTTCTACTAGAACCTGAAGGAAGCAGCTTGAAGGAGAACTTAATTCCTAAAAGTAAGACACACACTTACGCAAATGTATCGCAGTGTTGTGGCTAAGTCTGCAGGGCACTTCTTATAGTAGTTCCCTTGTCTTTTATGCTAGGATTATAATGCTGTCCTTACATGATGTGGAAAGTATCAGCAGTGACTTACTACTGCACAAATCTGATTCCTAAGGTCAAGGCGCCAGCAGCGTTGAAATGATCTATGTTTTCAAGATAGGGTGAAAAGAAAGTATTGTTTGTATCAAAACTTATCTGAAAGACTGTACTGTTAGGATCACTCCATGGATTGCATGCGTCCGCTTAGGAGTAGGCTAAAAATTTGAGAATGTCGTCATTAAGTGAATAACTTGGATACAGACTTCTTCTTCTAAAGGCACCAGCAGAGATGGCATTTCATTGCAATGTGTAAATAGTCTGTTCTTTTCTCATCCCCACGGTATTATCTAGGATAAGTACTTGTTTTGAATGTGAAATTCTTTAAATGAATTCTCAATCCCTTTTCTCTCCAAAAAAGTTGTTAAAGCAATGGTGAGTGTTTTTGGAGATACAGTCTACGTCCTTCTTGTTTTCTATCAGCTGAATTAAAATGCTAATCTCTCTGGTACAATTAAGTGATAGACACATTATTAAAACATTTACTTATTTATATATATAATTGACAGAAATCCATTAAGAGTTGAAGCTTTTTTTTCAGTCATAATTAAAGTGAATCCATATCACGTTATTGAAGAAAACAGAAAAAAAAATGAGATGGATGCATCAGTATATAATGAATCAATTACCATTATGTAATTTTCCTTTTGGGGGCAGTGGATATACTTATAATTCCCTGTTCCTTTGGTTCATCCTCCTCTTTTCCTAAACTAGCTGATGAATGGATCGTCGCTAACCCAGAACTGACAGACAAAACAAAGTTTACAATCAACGGTCTGCCGACTGGCTCAAAAATCCTTGTGCGAGTAAAAGCGGTGAATGCTGCAGGTGAAAGTGAACCTAGGTACCACCCACAGCCTATCTTAGTCAAGGAAGTGATAGGTAAGATCCTCCTGCTTATGTTCTCCCACAAATACACTCTGCTTCCATGTTTAGTTCTGTAGGTTTTTTTTTATGGCTAATACTTTTAGTTAGAAGCTGATGATATGGCCTTACAAAACCATTTTGTAGTGACTAGAAGACATGTAAACGTATTTAAAAAAATCTGTAATTTTTTAATATTTCATTTCTGAGCCTTTATTGCACAGACTTTAAAGTTGTCTACAGATCTTGATGTTTCTTTTTTAAGTAGCACTAAGTACCCACCTGTTCTTACCATCACAGCATGTGGTGTTACAGACACCAAAGGTGTACTGAATACGGGACCAAGAAATGTAAGATATCACTCATTGGCCTCTTCTGGGAATTGCAGAAAATGCAGATTTCTGTTTATATCAATGCCCACTAGTACTGCCTTGGTTAGAAAAGAAAATAAATTTCAAAGCTTTTGGGTTTTTTCAGAACCTCCAAAGATTCGCCTACCAAGACACTTAAAACAAACCTATACTAGAAGAGTTGGAGAAACTGTAAATCTTGTTATTCCTTTCCAGGTAAGAACTAAAAACACTGACAGGAAAATACTCAATACTCATTTTCCTTATGTTGCTGCTTCTTATCTTCTTTTTTTCTGTGTAAGTTTGGGAGTCAAGTGAGTTCATTCGAATAGATGTGAGAGAGCACAAAGAAGTACAAAGGCGCTTGAGAGTTTATGTCTTGATGTCTCAAATAAATGATGACAAGCCAAACACTGAATTGCATAACTAGCTTAGACAAACTGATTAGTCATCTGTCATCCACAGAGCAATTCTACTGCTGGAGATTATGTGCAAGATAATCACTACCAGAGTGCAAAATGATTAGACTGGCAGTAATTAGATACAGTAATATTTGATCATTGTGTTGTCTTGAGAGGGAGGTGAAGAGTGGGCAGAATTTCACTATCTCCTATAGGAAATGCAACTTTAAATCCTTGAGATCACATCTATAGCAAGAACACCTCCAAGGATATAGCACCTTTCACAACAATGACTGCCTCTCTACCTATAGGGCCCCTATTCTTCTGAATTAAAAGCTGTAATTTGAAATCTTCTCTGCTCACATAAAAATGCTTGTTTCTACAAAGCTACTAGAAGTTTAATAAAAGCTTGATCACCAATACACGACAAAAGACATTGTTTCAGAGAAACTAAAGAAATGTTTTCTAAAATTAGACATTTCAAAAGAGGTGAGAGTATTGGACAGCATTTGTAAATATTTTGCATCCAGAAGGCAAATCTCATGGTAAAGCAAGTGGAATTCACTCCTATTTAGGCACCAAAATTGGGCACTACCATGCCACAACTATATGCACTTCTCCTCAAAAGATGTCAAGCCAGTCTAACTAAAAGTATTTCAACTGCTTTTGCAATGAAAGAAGAGAATTCAAAATCCCTGGAGCTTTAATCCACTATTTAGGTGCCCAGCAGTGTAGAAAATGTAGGCAGTTCCAGAAGGGGAAGAAATTTGTTATGCTTTTTATTTCTTTTACAGATTTTCTTTAAAAAAAGAAAAAT